TGTCTGCACAAGGTGAGATAACCGCAGGATGTTTCAGGAAGATAGGTGGCCTCAGGATGTCTCAGGTGAGATAAGTAGCTGCAGGATGCCTCCCAGGCAGGATGTCTCCCAGGGGGCTGTCAGGCTAATCTTTGAAGGAGAATTTCCTTCTAGTCCCTGACACCGTCTGTCTGTGTGAACTTAGCCATTTAACCATTGTATACTTACCCTTTGCCTATGTGTACTTAACCATTGCATACTTACTCTCTGCCTGTGTGTACTTAATCACTGCATATTTACCCTCTGCCTGTGTGTGTACTTAACCACTTCCTACTTACCCTCTGCCTGTGTGTACTTAACCACTGCACACTTACCCTATGCCTGTGTGTACTTATCCACTGCATACTAATCTTCTGCCTGTGTGTACTTAACCACTTCCTTCTTACCCTCTGTCTGTGTGTACTTAACCACTGCAAACTTACCCTCTGCCTGTGTGTGTACTTAACCACTTCCTACTAACCCTCTACCTGTGTGTACTTAACCACTTCCTACTTACCCTCTGCCTGTGTGTACTTAATCACTGCATACTTACCCTCTGCCTGTGTGTACTTAACCACTTCCTACTTACCCTCTGCCTGTGTGTACTTAACCACTACATACTTACTCTCTGCCTGTGTGTACTTAAGCACTGCACACTTACCCTCTGCCTGTGTATACTTAACCACTGCACACTTACCCTCTGCCTGTGTATACTTAGCCACTGCACACTTACCTCTGCCTGTGTGTACTTAACCACTGCACACTTACCCTCTGCCTGTGTGTACATAAACCACTGCATACTTACCCTCTGCCTGTGTGTACTTAGCCACTGCACACTTACCCTCTGCCTGTGTGTACTTAACCACTGCACACTTACCCTCTGCCTGTGTGTACTTAGCCACTGCATACTTACCCTCTGCCTGCTTCACCACACTGAGCACTTAACCACTGCATACTTCACCACTACCAACTTGACGGCTCCACTTGTGACCACTGCATACTTAGCGGCCGCATGCTCTGTCACTGTGCATAACCTCGTGTCTGTAACAGCAGTATACATAAGCACTGCGTCCTCAGCCCCTGCACATGTAACACCAGAGTGCTTCATGCCTTTCTACCCCTTTAGCCCCTTGGTGACGGCACACCTGGCAGGTGTTGGGCAGGCCGCTGCAGGGTGAAGAGGTCGAGGGAGGGCAGACTCCCCTGGGCAAAGTCACTGGGGAATTATAAGGGGCTGGATCCATGAAAGCCATCTCACAGACTTCAAATCTACCCCAATTTAAATACTTTCTCAGTTTTGCCCTATGACTTAAATTCGAGTCCAAGACAGTGGTTCTCAAACTGGGCTCCCTTGGCAAATATTCCAGGAGTTTGAATATTTGTCTGAAACAGAGAGACCTTTTCCTCATTTTAAAAGACATACAATGAAAAGGTTTTGTTTTGTTTTGTTTCTTGAGTATTTGTCCCTTATTTATTTATTTATTTTTCCTCTCAAATCCTTGGCAGCTGTTCCCCGGCCAGGCTGTGTCTATATGAAACCTGATGATTTAACACGTAGCTGGATTAGTTCATCCACTCACCCCTCATTTGGTCACTGGACAAATATTTATTAGGCTCGTCCTCTGTGTCAAACACTTTTTGGACACAATATTTGGAAAGGGCCACTGCATCCACCCAAGCAGCCTGTTCGCTTCCGAGTATGTGTGTTGTTTGCGCTTCATGACATGTAAGCATGATTAAGCAGCACGTCCTTGATTCCTGTGACATTTATTTTTAACCTGCTCAAAGCGACTCTCTTGGAAACACTATCTCTAGGGGCCGTGGGATCTTCATTTATTGGAGATGCAGAGAACTTGATGTATATTCTGATCATTTCATCACTCCTCTATTAATCCCAATGATCCAGATTCTTAGAGTGGAATTAAACATGGCAGCATTTGACAATGTTCTCTAGGGAGCTGGGCAACTTCCAGACGACTGGGCCCCACAATCAACTTTGAGAAGGCAGCTGGGGGGAGGCGGGGCAGGAATCACCCAGGTTCAAATCCCAGCTTGGGTAATTCTGGATGGTGTGGCTGTTGGAAAATCCATTCAACTCTCTGAAACTCGATTTCTCCACCTGTAAAACGAGAGGGTTAAAAATCACACCACCCTCAAACTATTTTCGTGGCTTACCAAATACCTAAAACTCCTGACACAGGATAGATGCATCCATGCTGGTGGTATTGCTACTAAAATAATGATGATAATATTACATTTTCCAGTAAAGTTCAATTGGGTTTCGTGTTTCAATTCCCAATAGTTCTCCACCCCCCAAACCCTCTCTCTTTGCTATGGGATAGCATTTAAAAAAATATATCCCTGGAGCCTGCCCCAATTATAAAAGGAGATAACTTGACATCATTTAACTGCAGCCTGAGCATTTGAATTTAATTGCACGGGAAATAATTATTCCTGAAGAGCGAGGTTTTTGAGGTTCTGGGAGGCGGTATAAGATATGGATCTCGTTACATTAGACCTCGGCAAATAAACTTTTAATAATCAGCTGCTACTTAACATACCTTCCACCTCCCATTGAATTTCCAGCAGGCACCATGGGACAGGATGGATTGGGGAAGGAGGGGGCTGAACTGCTGATTAATTATTTAAAAAGTGATTTATTTACCAAGGTGAGCCATTTGCAAATTCAATAATAAATCTATTAAGGAGTAGTTAACCTCTATAACTCTGTTTTAAATAATCAATTGGTGTTTGGGTAGCGTTCAGCGTCTGTCTCATTAAGTCCTCATTTGAAGCACTTAATCTGAGGTGTGACCGAATCAGCCCTGAGGTGGTAATTAGATGTTTGCTCTGGGTCCTTGGTCTTGCAAGGATCTGGGTCCTTCCCCTTCCCAGGCTGCCAGGGCCCTGGCTGGGGGATGGGGGAGCCCTGGGTCCTCTGACTCTTTGTTCTCCACAGTGCGTCCCTCGACAGAGACTTCACACCACCACCCTCCTCCAGGGGGAAGAAGAAGAAGAAGAAATCTGCCCGGAAGAAGAGAAGGAGGTGAGACCACCCACCGAGGGGCGATGAAACCTTCAAGATGCGGAAAGGAACAGAACAGGGTGACAGGGGCTTTGGAGTCCGTAGGGGACTCTCCGTAGAGTGCAGATCTCTTCTCTGCCTGTTCACTGGCTGTGTGACCTTGAACTTCACCTCTAAGCTTTTCCAATTCTGAAAATAAATGACAATGATTCCTGCCTCTTGGGATTTGGTGTCTGGCATGTAGTAAGTGACCAATTAAATAGGAGCACAGTCACTATCATGAGCACTGAGTTCCTCTGAGAGTTGACTCAGTGCGGAGGATCACACTAAGCTGATAATACTACCCTGATTTCCCGACCTCCCAGCCTCTATCCACCCCGGCAAGCATTAATATTCCCATTTTAGGGATGAGGGGAAAAAAGGCTCAGCGAGGGAGTGAAAGAATCTGCAGGGTCTTGATTCCCAGTAGGTGTCCATCCCACTGTCCATCAAGCCAAATGCCCAGGATAATGAATGGACTTGACAATATTTGCCAAGTCAATGGCTCTTTTGCATTTATTGCCTTTTACTTTTCTATACACCATTCTTTAATTTTTTTTTTGTTTTGCATTGAAAAATATTTCCAGGTTTGCCTGTAGACAGTCGCTCACTAGCCTGAACGCTTGCTTACCTGGTGTCCCAACCCCAGAGAACCAGGCCTGAAAATTCTTAGTGGAGAATCACACCGAACGGCCAAGGCAATACTCATAGACGCCTGCAGGGGGCAGCAGAGAGCAGTGTCTGGACCACTTGAGCCTGAACTTTTCTGGGACCTTGTTCTAGGACACCCTTTAGCGTAGTCCTAAAAGGGTCAGGCCCAAGGAAAACCCCATAGGGAATGTGGGTGAAGAAGCTGAGATGTAGCCATTGTAAGGCAAGGAGTGGCATTGGACAAGTGGAGTTTCCTGATTTTTAGGGGTGGGTTGAAGAACTTTTCAAAAAGGAGATAGCAGACATCCATCATTCAATAAATGTCCACCGAGCTCGCGTTTGGGGACAGACGTTGTGATTCCTTAAAGGTCGAGTGGGTCCTCAGTCATTTCCCTCCTGGGATGGAAAGATCTCCAATTTTTTAGCTGTGTGTCTCTGGGCAGATCCCTTCACCTCTCAGAACCTCTGTTTCTTCATCAGAAAAGTTCTGGTAGCAACTGTACCTGAGAAGCATGTGGAAGGGTTAAATGAGATAATACTTAAAAAGTACACGGTCATGTTTAAAATAAATGCAAAAAGCTACTGTTGGGGTTAAGATGACCCTTGATGAGCAGTTCTAAAAGACCTGAGACCCTACAGAGGGGTTGGGGAGAGGGCCCTGAGAAACCAACTCTGGCCTTTACCAGCCTCCCTCTGAAGTGCCTCCCCTTCCCATAGGTCCCCATCCTATAGCCCATCGCCCGTGAAGAAAAAGAAGAAGAAAAGTTCCAAGAAACACAAGCGACGCAGGTATCGTCCTTCTTCCTTTATAAACAGGGGCCTCCCAGGTGGGATAGGGAAGGGAGACTCAAAATGTCGTTTGGAACCATCTCATGTCATTTGTGCAGCAAATTTATTATATATATATATATATATATTTGTTAATATCATGTACAAGTTGGGACTCCAGATGCAGGGACCAGGGGTCCACCATCCCAACTGAGGCCAGGAAAGGCCTGATTAGAAGAAAGCAGGAGGGTCTCAGTGGCCCCCTAGGTGTGGGCAAGGGGCAAGGAGAGGGAATAGAGGGCTCATGGGGTCAGACAGAAGCCACAGCTCCCTCTGCTTCCTGGTCTATGTAAGGGGACAAGGCTGCACCCTGCCCCGTGTCTCCACATGGCAAGCTAAGCCTCAGGAGACTCTGAACTGTCCAAATTCCCTGTTCCAAATTCCCTAGAGAAGGCTTCACATGGGGGTCCCCCTATGTCCCAGAGGGTGGGATCTGGTTGGAGAACGTGGCTGCTAGGATGGCTCACCCTTGTGGGAGGGGAGCGGGGTCAGAAGTGAAAGGACATTGTAAGCAGAACACACCTTCTAGAACTTTCCCACTGTGCACACACATGCATGCACACACTGATCCACGGTCCCACGCACACACATGTTTACAGGGGGAAAAGACCAGAAGGATTTAAACCAGAGGGCTCCAAGCCAACATTTATAATCGAAAGATTTTACAAAACAGAATCTCAGTGTTGCATTCCCTCCATAAAAGAAAGGTCCGTGTCTTCCTTGAGCCAGTTTCCCACGGGCAGCCCTCAGCTGGCCTGGGGAGCGGCGTGGGCTTTAACACGTCTCAGCCTCCTCCTGCCACTGACACACATTTCCCAGACCCTGTGGTTGGCCCTGGATAATGGGAAACGTCCAGTTTATATTTTATGTATTTCATTTGTATTTTATTCCTCGTCTTCCAATGCGGCAAGCAATTTGGATTATTAACAGAATAAAAGCGGGAGGTCATTTGGGTTTGCCCTGTGCATCTGAAAGCCCGATTCAAAGTGGCTTCAGTGTGGCTTTTACTTATTCAGGGTTTTGGCCACATCTCAGCCCGTGTTGCTAGAATTGTCCCAAACCCAGTTTGAGCCCCCTGGTTATGTCCAGCGCCTGCCTTGATGTTCAGTTGAGGCTGAGTTTGTGCTTATTATAAAGATGTGGGCAAATCAGTGCGTGGATATGAGACGTGGGCAGTGAGCAAAAGGGCAATTTGGTGTCAGAAGTCTTTCGCACCATGGAGCCCCATTGTAGAGACAGTGTCCTTTGGGGGGAGGGGAATCATGGAGGGAGATGAGGACGGGGAAATACTCTTGCTGGCCCCTCCAGAGCCCGCCCTGGCTGAGCATTGCCCTGCTCCTGAGCCAGCTTCCCCAAGTTTGTGAAATGTCTGGTTAACGATGTCTGAAGCATTACAACTGGCAATCTTGCTGGGCACACCTGTAATTCCAGTGGCTTGGGAGGCTGAGGCAGGAGGATCCCAAATTGAAGGCCAGCCTCAATCACTTAGCATGGTCGCAAGCTCAAAATTTAAAAAAAATAAAATAAGAAAGGGGGCTGGGGATGTGGCTCAGCGTTAAGTATCTCCGGGTTCAATCCTCAGTATTAAAAAAAAAAGAAAAAGAAAAGATTTTCAACTTTAATGAGATTTGTCCTTATCTCTTAATTAACAAAGCTTCAGAGTTTTAAATAGTTCTCTCCTCTTTGCAGCTCTATTAAACCCCTTATATGAAACATAAATGATGTTTTCAAGCTCCCAAAACAGGACGGTGACCCAAATCCAGGCCCTGCCCTCAGATTACTCACATGCTGCTGAGGAAAATGGGTGACAATCACATGGAGAGGTCTGGACCCTCATATCCCCCAGTGAGAAGCTCAGCAGGGCTTGGAGAAGCACAGAGGAAGACTCTGAGGAGCTTGAGGGGCTCATAGAACACTACAAAATACCACAGCGAGAAGAGAATGAGTAGAAGCCACATAGGTGAAGCTGTGTGACCCTGGGCAACTTAACTAACTTCTCTGAGCTTCAGCGTCTTTGTCTGGAAGACGGCTGTGAATCGTCCTCCACAGGGTTTGGGGGAACATCGAATGAGGCTGGGAGTGATAGATGCTTAGCCCAGAACCCGGCACACAGGAAGAGTCCTCCATGTGGCAGCCAGGGACCTCGTGATGGTGTCAGCCGGGAGGAGGAGGAATCTCCAACTAGGGAGAGAGATGATTAGAGGGAGGGGAGGAGACAGAGGACTCTTTCGCAGGCCCCCCGTCAACAGCCTCACCTGGGACAGGCTTGCTGGCAATTTGGGGTGAACTTTGGAGCATGGGTAGGCTTTGGCCTGGAAATCTGGGGTGCAAACCAAGGTTGCCCTGTGAGCATCACATTCTTTGGAACCTGAGAGAGTGGGGGGACTGGCTAGGGGTCCCGACCCCCTAGCAGCATGATCACAAGCCCAGGGTGCTTTGTCCCAGGAGCAGAGGCCCAAACTCACCCAGATTTCTTCTCTCCCCTCCCCTCTTTCTTCCCTCTTCCTCCCTCCCTCCCCCTCCCTCCTCCCTCTGAACCAGGTCCTTCTCCAAGAAGAGAAGACACAGGTAAGACCCACGGCCTCCGGCTGCTCATTCTGCTTCCTGCTTCCCTGAACTAGGCTCTGGGCCACTTCCTGGCTCAGCTGCCACCTCCACCTCTGTTCCTGGGCCAGCCCCGGGTGGCACCCTAGTTCTTCTTGAGTCTGTTTAAGATGCCACCGTTGAACTCCAGAATAGGGGCATCATCCACCCAGTCAGTCCCAGGCCCAGCCACACCCCAGAGGTCAGGACTGCAGGACTCACTATACGTGGGGTCCTGCACGGCCCCTGCTGCGGGTGGATGCGTTCAACCCCCGTTCACCCTGTCACATCTCGGTGGTGGATATGTCTCTTCTCCATTTTACAGATAGAGAAACTGAGGCTCCGGGGCTGTGACAGGAAGGTCCACAGAGCCAAGTTCAATCAGAGCCAGTATTCAAACTCAAATTGTTCAGACAGAGGATCAGGACAGGGGACAGTGGCTTCTTAAGTGGCAGCAGCCATATCTAGAGCTGTGGAAAGAAGGCAAGGTCCTGCCCTTGACTCGCGGGCTCATTCAGAATCAGCCAAGCTCTGGGGGCCTCAGATGCCTTCCCTGGGGCTACGGCCACTTGTCCATGGATTTAACAGAAGGCGTGGGCTGTGGGGACTCGGGCTCCGGGGCCACTTCCCAGTCACCTCGGGGATCCGGGGCAAGTTTCTTGGCCCATCCGAGGTTGGGTTCCCACATCTGTAAAATGTGCCTTGATTAGATTGTCCCTCCACCCACAGGTCTCAGGGGCGACACAGGGGTGGTCGACAGGAGGTACCTAGCAGGACACCTAACCCTAGCCAAGCTCCGACGTGGCAGATATTGTCACTATCACCCCCTACCACCCGTGGGCCACTACTGACCTACCAAAGCCGGGCTCCGCATCCCCAGCACCTGCTCTCAATGGAGGTGCATGAGCTGGTGTCCCCCGGAACTGGCTGGGTGGACAAGTGGGCACCAACTTCTCCTGCCCTCGGGCCGTGATCCCCGTCCACCCCCAGACTGCTTGGGTCAAGGGACCCACGGAATGTTCCGTGTTTGAACCACCTGTTCGTTTTTATCTTGAACTGCATTTTTTTTTTTTTGCATCTTTCAATTAATTGGCCCTTTCTTATTTAGCTCCTCAAGCCCAAAAACCAAAAGAAGGGAAGAGAAGAGGCATAAAAAGCAGTAAGTAGACGCCACCTGCAACATGCTCTCCAGTTGGGGGAATTGAAGACCTGGATTGAGCAGCCAGAGGGTGGTTGGCAAATAGCCAGGAAAGGGAGGGGAGGGTGGGTGACTGAGAGGAAGGAGGAAGGGGAAGAGAAGGGAGGGGAGGGGGAGGGGGAGCAGAGGGAGGAGGAGAAAGAACTGTCTGTGACCTTGAAGCTGTAGGCTTAGCATGCACGAGCACCAGGTTGAGTATGCCACCTGGTAGGGGTGTGGATACGTGTGTGTTTACGTGTGCATGCAGTTGTGCAGTGCACATGCATGTTCCTGGCGTGCCCCTGACATGGGTTGTAGGGCGTCTATGTGAAACGGGCACCTTGTCACCGTCCATACATTTTCTCATCATGCAAACATTTGTGGACTTGCAAATTCATACACCACGTGGGCACCTGGTATGCACCTGTGGCTTCTGTGTGCATTCACACCCATGCACTTTTGTGCCCGTGCTCGTGTGAGCACCGACGTACCTAGTATGAATACAGCTGCTCCGAGGGCCGAGGTGTACCGATCCCTGGCACTCCGTGTGTGCACTGTGTGTGCGCCGTGGGTATGCAGGCATGTGTGGTGGTTTTCACCTGTGCACGTGCGGGCTGTGTGTGCATGGTTATGGGGTGTGAGCATGCGAGGGAACCCGTGCCCTGGCTCCTGGGTGTACAGTGTGGAGCAACGGGTGACGCTCCTTGCCTCGGTCTCGGCCCCAGCTGTGCACAGTTTCTAGCTGGTAGTAGAAATTCAAATCAGCCAGCACCGCCTGCAGAGCTCAGTTCCCAACCAAATTAAAAGTAAATTTGGTTACAGCCCACCTACTTTATGCCCTGCAAATTTTAGTGCATGTGTTTTCCAGTCAACTAATATTTTATCTCCCACCAAGAAGCTTCTAGAAAGAGGATCAAAGATAATGGGTAGTCAGCCACTGGGAAGGAGAAGAGGAGCAGGGGCAAGGAGGGTGGGCACCCAGCTTTGCCGCCCTAAAGGGTCTCTTGGCTCAGGGTCAGTGGGAGGGAAGGCATTTCAGCCACCACCACAAAGACCTGGGGATGTTCCAGAAGGAAGAAGTGGAGCCTCCAGCTAGCTCAGGGAGGAACTTCCCATCTTCAGGCTTGGTTACAAGTCACTCATCTTGAGTGTGTCTTCATGCCAGAGCAGAGAGAGCACGTGTTCCCCAAGGTCTCCGCATCACTTGTCCTGGTGGGGCGGGGGTGGGGGGCACAGGATGAACAGCTGCAGTCGCAGTCAGACCTCAAGCTCACTGGGAGGGACCATGGTGGCGTCGAGTTGCCCACCCTTCCCAGTGCCATCCCAGAAGTTACCAGCGAGCATCGGGAGGCTTGTGCCAGCCACAGAAGGCAAGAGACAGGAGAGCAAGGAGCCCAGGACTCGCCCCCAAAGGCTCCGAGGCTCATTCTGGGCCTCCCTGTTGGCGTAGGTAGAATGAGACCAACACCAGAACCAGCTTTATAAACGCTAGAACTCGTGCCTGGAGCCGAGGGTGGGTTAGGTATGAAAAGGTGATCGCATTAGAAGAACCTCTGAGTCCTTTCTTGAGATAACCAGATGGGCTCCTGGCCTCCTGATAGAACCATCTCTAACTCCCACTGACCCCTGGCCCGGCCCAGATCACTGACATTCCCTGTACCTCCTTCATCACCCTGGCCATGGCTCCTCCCACTCCTGGCTGGTTAGGATTCCTCCGGAAGAACTGAAGTAACCTGTAGCAAGGCCGCGATCAGTGGCGGCGGAGACCCTTGTTCAGCGGGACGCGTGCTGCACTTTCTGAACGGCTTTGGACTCCATGCTAAGAATCTGGATTTAATTTTCCAGGTCTGAGGTGACAAATTGGCAGCCCAAAGGCCTAATTTACTCTGCAAATGGGTTTTGTTTGCACCAAGAGGTGTCTTTCTTTCTTTCTTTTTTTTTTCTTTAATGAGCTTCCATTTAAAATAGGAATATTTTACATAAAAAAAAAAAAACTGTATTTCCCCATCCACTTGAAAAATTGGCAAGTCCAGCCGGTGGGCAGCCTGTGGGCAGAGCCCAGGGCCGCCGCTGGTGTCATTTCAGTGCCCGGATGACGGCTCCCACCTAGGACACCTCTCTGGTCCTGAGGCCAGGTGACGGGGTGACTCCTGCCTTGGGTAAGGGACAGGTGACATGCGGGTGTGGCAAGCCCTGAGTCATCCATGCTCCAGCCCGAAGACCCCTTTCTGCTCACCTGTGGATCGAAATCAACCTCTCTCTCCCTCTCTCTCTCTCTCTGTCTCCCCAAGATCTCGAAGCCGGCCCCGAAAATCTCACCGTCACCGCCACCACCACTGGCCCTCGCGGTCCCAGAGCTCGGAGTCACGCTCCTCCAGTTGTGAGAGCAGGTAGCCCCTCACCCCACGGGGCCCCTTCACCCCCCCCCCACAGAGCCCAGGGCCCCTGCAGCATCCAGCTGTTCCCTCCAGGGGTGCACTTCCTGCTCAGCCTGGCCCCTGCCATGCTCCTAGGTGGGTTCACTCTTGCCTAAAGAGAAAGGCTATGGCAGAGGTGCCCTTAGAAAAATGATCTGGAAGTCCCAGAGCAGAAAGGGACAGTCCAGAGCAGGAACCAGTCCCTACAGGTGCAGAAAACTGCCTTGACCCTGCCACTTTAAGCTGTGTGACGGCGGGCAGGATGCTAACCATCTCTGAGCCTCAGCTCCGACATCTATAAAAGGGGAAAGTAACACCTGTCCCGTACGCCTTCAAGTTGTAGAATGGACTGTGAAGGCACCTGTGGAGGAGCCCCTGGGTGTCAGACAAATCTGTACAGTGCTGTTGCTATTTACTGCTGTGTCTCAGGGAGCTCAAGGGACAGGCGAGTCCTGATGCGTCCATTCTCAGAGGGCAGATGTGCCTGTGGTTCCCACTGCCGAAGGAGCCACCAGATCTAGACTGGGCAAACTCGCAGACGCCATCGCGGTCACTTTCATCAGCCATTTCTTTCTGAAATGTTGGGGTGCCACTCAACGGGACAGCTCCATTTCACAGATTAGCAAAGTGATCCCCAAAGACACAGTTACGTCCAAACACACGGAAGCAGATGGACGCGTCCAGTTGCTCAGATGGACAGACGGTCACAGGAGTGGAGGATATTCAGCTGAACCGGGGAAGGGACCTTCCTGTCATCCCACAAGCATCTGTTAAATGAATGAATGAAGGGATGGGGCTGGGGGCGGGGGGGTGGCTGGTTCCGGGCATGGGAAGATGGATGGACCCGCACAGAGTCCAGCTCGGACATGGGCACGCGCAGACACCCCCAAGGTCAAAGTCACGGACAGGCACAAGCACACTCTGTCGTCCTCAGGTGATGCGTGGGTCCCTTGAACGTCTCTCTGCCGTGCGCACCTTCAGAATGTTCTCGCTCAGGTCCCTGTCCCCTGTCCCCAGGCACCGAGGCCGGTCCCCCGAGGAAGGGCGGAAGTCCCGCCGCAGGCACTCTCGCCGCTGCTCCAAGACCCTGTGCAAGGCCAGCCCCGAGGCCCGGTCCAGCCCCCCGCCCAGCCAGCCCCTGCAGATGCTCAGCCTCCTGTCGGCCAGGGGTGTAGTAAGTATTGCACACGCCTCCTCCTGCAGCCTGGTGGTGACACGGGGGACAGGGGTGGAGGCCCAGGATCAGGGCAACACACGACATGCTTTAATTCAGTCCCCGGCAAAATACCCTCCCGCTGGCTCCAGACCTCATAATTAATGAACCAAATGGTCACTCAGCAGCCTGTGGCAGCACTGGGCTTGGGGACTTGGAGGAGGGCGGATGGCAGAGGAAGAAAAACAAAAATACCCAGGCTCTGTTATCAGGGGACCCTTGATGATCGATGCTGGTCTCTAGCGTGGCATTCGCAGGAACGCATGCGTGAAAGATCCCAGGAAGTCGGTTTGTTTTCCTTTTTAATTTGTTTGTTTGGTTGTTGTTTTTATGTTTTTTGTTTTTTGGTTTTTTTTGGTGAGTGAGGAAGAAGGGGCGTTGGACGTGACTGGGGCGCTCTAGATTTTACGTGAACACTGCATCTTTGTGCCAGTTGGCTGGCAGCCTTGGCTGGCATCTGGAATTTGATTCCACCTATAAATGCGACCTTGAATTTATATGAGAATTTTCCTCCGAGGGGCTCCTAGCCCTTGACCTGTGTCTTCTCTTGTATCCACACAAGGTCTCAGGGAATGGAGGGCACAAGCTGCTGTCACTCTTCCCTTCCACAGATGGGACAGAAATAACCAAAGCTCAGAGAGGTTGAGGTCTGGGGTGAAGACACAGAGCAGGACCAGAAGGAATCCAGTTTAGCAACCTGGGGCTGGAGGGAATCATGCAGTACTTCCCTGGGTCAACAAGGAGAGGCTGAAATGTGACGTCAGACAATTGGACACCTTCAGCCAGCTGAATTTAATGTAGAGATGGGTCTGAATTTAAGTCCTAGCTTTGTCCCTTCCTAGCTGTGGGGCTCTGGGCAAGGTACCTGACCAAGGTTTTCTCGCTGGTAACCCTGAAGGAATGCCTCTTCTATATGGGATTGTTGGAGAAATCCTATAAGATAACGCAGACTCCAAAGGGGCAGACAGACAGACAGACAAGAGGAAGAAGGTCAAGATCAACATAGCTAATATGTTGATATTGACACAGCAGTGCATCCTGGGAAACTCTTCCCCATCCACGAGGGCACCCGGTATGAAGGTCTAATTTTGCCCAAATCTTCTGCCTATCTGGAACCATCCACAACTGTCCCCAGGTCCCTGCATTGTAAAGATGCCCGTGGTTACTGAATACTTGCAAGGGGCAAATGCCACCTACTTTGTCTCCTCCCCAAATGTCCTAAGAAGAGGAGTGCTGGTAGGGCAGGGAGCCAGAGACCTGGGTGCAAGCCTTGACTGGACTAATCATTTTATCCCTCCCAGCCTCGGTTTCCTCAACGGGGAAATAGGTATGGTCATCCCACTGATCTCCCAGGGCGGGTTGTGGCAAAAGTAAAGGTGAATTTGAAATCTGAGCAATGAGAGGTAGGAGTGTGTTGGAGTTATCCAAGGGCTTCCCAGTCCCCCCAGTCATATAATTTGTGGCAGCCCATTCAGAGTCCCCAGTGACCCCAGCTTAAGGTGCCCTTGAGAATGACTAACTTATATGGCTTTACCTGCCTGAGCTGGCTTCTAAACAAGGTCGTGGCCATCAGAATGTAGCTGAAAGCCGGGTCTGTCCTCCCAAACCAATGGGTGATGGTACAAATTGGCTCTTGGCAGTGTGCTTTCCTGAAACACACAGGCTCCTGACAGATTTGGAGTTAGACACTTTGATGTCCAATATGAGCTCAGCCCCTATCAGAAAAGTTTAAAGCCCAGCCTCATTGGTACCCACAAGGAAGAGGCCTTAAGAGCTCACCAGGCCCGCTACCCTAATTCCTACCTCAGTGAGACTCACAGAAGAAAAAGGTCTCACGTTGGCTATGGCCAGGTGGAACTTTAAACCTGGGATCATGATGATGTGGTCTAATTCTGGCTCCCAGCTAGGGACAGTTACCTAAACCTGTCCAAACTGCAGTTTCTTTGTCTGTAAAGAAATAATAATAATAGATAACAACGTTCTCTTCTTTGAAGAACATTCATTGAGCCCAGTTCTTGGCCCAGGGGCAAAACTCAGTGCATATTGATGGTGTTCTGAGAACATTCCGGCTCCCAAACTGTACTTAACCAGCCACAGAACCTTGAGCAACTTCCGTAATCCCTTTTATGTCTCTGTTTTCTCAAAATCTGAAAAGCGAGCATAATAATGAGACCTACCTCATGAGATGGTTAGGACTCTATGTCTAGATGTAAGCAGAAGTCATGGGATGGGGCAGGCAAGTGGCACACGTGGTGTGATGTTGGCCGTGAGCCAGCAGCCACGTAGCAATGCAAAGAGCGGTGGTGACGTGTCAGGTGGAGGTGACATGTAGCGTGGTTCCACACTCAGGCTAATAATGGCAAAGCTGCTTCCGGGACCAGTTCTTTCCATCCTACACAGAGGCCTTGGCCCACGTGGCTCTGCCCCCTCACTCAAGTTTGCCCAGCTCCTGGGGCATCTGAGGCTCCCAAATCTAGTGTCCGAATTCCCTTCATGCCTGGCTCTTTCCCAGCTTCTCTCTTACAAAGGCAGAGACGGAAGAAGGTTCTAGATTAGACCAGAGATTTTTCTAAGAGTCCTGGCCCCAAGATTTGTGTCCCTGTTCAGGGTGACAGCAGAGTGCCTGTCACTGAATCAGTCATTTATTTGAGTCTGTCCACATCTACTGAGCATCTGTGCAGGGTCAGGTGCTGGCTTGGCTCTGGGGATTCGATGAATAAGAAAGAAATAGTCTTTGCCTTCAGTTGAGAGGATGAGGTATAAATGGTGTAAGTTTGTAAATCACAAAGCAGGCGTGGTGTGGATGCTTAGGTGGGCAGGGCAGGGTGGGGAGAGAAGGGAACAGTCACTCAAACAACCAAGGGCAGGCAGGATTGAGCCAAGGAAAAGGAGGGACGAAGATGGGATTTGAGATCAAATTCCAGGGCAAGACACAGGGCTGTGGTGGGGACCAGAGCCTGAGTATCAAGAGTCTTTGGTGGCATAGCTCCTGCCACGCTGAGTTGCTATCATTTGGTGTGTCCAGCTCTTTAAAAAGTCAAAGACCAGATGGGCACATGGAGCACACCTGTAATCCCAATGGCTTGGGAGGCTAAGGCAGGAGGATGGCAAGTTCAAAGCCAGCCTCAGCAACTTAGTGAGGCCTAAGCAACTCAGGGAGACCCTGTCTCTAAATAAAATACAAAATAGGGCTGGGGATGGGGCTCAGTGGTCGAGTGCCCCTGAGTTCAATCCCTGGTGCCAAAAAAAAAAATTAAAACCAAGGACCAGTGTATTACATGGTGGCCTGCTCATTTGCATATATGACTGTGGAAATTGGGGGCCTAAATCCTTACTGAATTCCGGGTTGGTGGGCAACATTCACCTGAGGCTCTCTTGCGTGGTCCAGAACCCAAATCCAAAGTCTCTTTTCAAGGCCCTGAGGGCAGGGGAATGCAAAGCCATTCTTTCTGAACTCCTGGAGCTCAGGTGGGTGGTCCACAGAATGCTGTCACACAGAGCCCTCTATTGTCATTAGGGCTGGGACTAAGTCCATGGGCTTGATAAAATATTCAAATACTTGCTCTACAGCTGATAAATAGAACCTGTCACCATGTCACCCCACCCCAGGAAACCCATCCACCCGTCCCCTCCCCGACACCTTCTAGATCTTCTCACAATCCAGCCATCAAAATAGGACACCTGATCCCTTTCAATGTGGAGGCCAATTTCTGGAATGGAGCAGTACCCACACCCAGCCAGTAGTCAAATGTTTTGAAAACCAACCCTGGAGGTGATGGACGCAGATGTAATGTATAGTAGGACCACAGCGGGAGGTTTGGACAGTGTTGTCTTGGCGTCTGAGAGGGCTTTGTAAGTAAGGGGACATTTATGCTGGGCTTTGAAGCATGAGTAGGAGTTGGTTACACTGAGATGGCCAAGGGCTGGAAGGATGGGGAATACCACCCTGTGCTAGGCATCACCCCATACTTTACCCAGATTTTTCCTCACTTGATGCACACAACAGTTCTTTGAGGTGGGTGCATTTATTATCACCCGTTTGCAGATGGGGAGCCCGAGGCTCTGAGGGGCAAAGTGACTTAAGGAGGTAACTGGGAGGAGAGGGAGTGGCATGAGTCAGGGCTTGTGCCAGGGAAGCTTCTTCAACAGCCAGCGCCGGATGACAGGGAGGTTGGGGATTGGTCAAGACTGAAGCTGGAGAAGGGCAGGACTCTTTTTTTTTTTTTTCCTTTGTGCCTCCAAACTGGGCAGGTGGTTGCCATCTGCCTCTTGTGCAGTAAAAATTTGCACAATTGACAAAGGAAAAAAATGGAGACTGCGGAGTTCATAAAAGAGAGTCTCATGATATTGTGAATTGGAGGAGGCAGAGAGAGTGCTAACGATTAAGATGGGGACGTTGGATCTGGGTTCTCTGGAATTTCCCACCTTGTCACTCTGTATAACCCTGAGTGGCAGCAATAACTGCTGCTTACTGAGCACCTACTATGTGCCAGACGCCAGGCTGAGTTCTTCACCTGTAGTGTTATCTTGTTGATTTTTTTTATCAACAGCCCTTCAGCAGAACTTCCACTCATATCTTCATTTTACAATGTGAAACTCGAGTCTAGAAAAACCAAGTATAAAGACAACTCTTAAATAGAGAATCTAGGGTTGGAACCCAGAAAGCTTGTCCTCGGGACCCGTTTTGATTAGTTACGTGACCTCCCTTGTGTCATTTCCCTTCTCTGAGCCTCAGTATCTTCATCTGTACTTGGACAAGCAACCATACCTACTTACTGGGTTGTTATGAGGATGAGGTGACATAAGGCATCCATTCAGTTTTTAAATACGCATTAAGCAACTACTATGTGCCATGCACTTTCCAGGTTTGGCAAACCAGCAGGGAACAAGACATACGTGGTCCCTGCCAGTGCAAAGCTTCACTTCTGTATGCAGAGGTATCCTCAAGCTCAGGATATAAT